TAGTCCCTAGTTTCAAAAACACATTCGTCTTTGTGGTGTCACAGCAGTTAATGTCCTGCCACAGGATTCAATTCAGGTTGAGCTCTGAACCTTTTCTGGGACGAGCCAAAACATTGATTCTTTGCTTTTTTTTTTCACCATTCTGTTGTAGATTTGCTGCGGTGCACGAGATCATTGTCCTTTTGCATGGCGTACTTTGGGGACTGTAAAACACTTTGGTATACAAAGTAGTTCATGTATCCTGTAGCAGGCAAACCAAAGCCCTTGCCTCAAAGGATAACCTGAAGAAGAGGACAGACCAGTAAAGTGGCTTCTTCCACCCTCTTGCACAGGCTGAAAAAAATCTAGTATTTTGCTGTTAATGTGGGGAAAAATAAATATATCTTTATGAAATATAATAGACATTAAACTTCTGGGGAAAAGAGCAATATTTTTACATCTTCCATTTCTTTGTATTTAAAGTTTGAGGTGAGTTTTTATATCTTTACCAGCACTAGTTAATGTTAACTCAAGGAAAACCCAGAGGAAAACTTGTCTGCTTATGTATGACCCAGACGCTCCTTCATTTAGCAAACAGACATGTTCCAACAAGTTTAACGGTCTTCTTGTGTTTCGTTTTATTTTTCTAAGGAAATTATGTCTTTCATAGTGCATGTGTGCACATCATTCTGTCTGCAAACACAGTAGCTTGAAAAGTTTGGAATGAATTCTGAAACTGTAGACTGAGGTCATCTTAACTACTCATTAAAATTTGCTTTACATCCACTGAGATCTTCAATACCAACTTAAAATGTGTTTATTTGTCAGAAATTGACAAAAAGCTTAAAACTATGATTTTTAGTGTGTGCATTGTTTCTCACTGCCAGTGTTTGTACTGACAACGTAAAGGTACATAGGCGATGATATATATGGTCAAGTAAATATGACATTAGTTTGTATACAAATATCATGTTTTACAAGTTAACCATAAATTCATTATATCTTTAAAGAAAGTTAGTTAGAAATATGGGTGGGTAAAAAAAGATATCCAAACTCAAAGCAATTTGAATTTAAATAATCCGATACTGATTGATTATTGAATCCTTAAATCAATTTTTAAATAACTAAAAGCTCTCAAAACCATTTCAACAACCACAAAACAGATAAAACTCCACAAAACAGATAAAACTCCACAAAACAGATAAAACTCCACAAAACAGATAAGATTCCACAAAACAGATAAGATTCCACAAAAGAGGGAACACAAAGCGTGGATCCTTCTCAGAGTACTTCAATACCAGTTTTCTGCCTTATTCGCTTTCTTATTATACACCAGTCTACAGCTGTGTACGGTGTATGGTGATGTCTGACGCTTTTTTCACCAAAAATGACCTCAACACTGGGCCCTCTGACCACCACCAGTAGGCAACGGGTGAAGTGTCTTGCCCAAGGACACAACGGCTGAGACTGTCGGAGCCGGGGCTCGAACCAGCAACCTTCCGATGCCAACTCTTGAGCCACGATCGCCCCTACAAGGTTTAGAGGGTTCTTTTGACAGTACATATCCAAGTCAGATGATCATATTTCTAATATTTCTGAATCAAATTGAATCAAACTTGAATCATTTGTAGAAATCAGTGACAATACAGAGTCTTATTTAGAAATATACTGTTGTATAATATTGTATAATTAGCTAAAGTTAATCATGTCCAGTTATTACAGATAAATATCTACACAGCAAAATCTCCTGTGTTAAATTAACACTGGAGAGTGTCTATGTGGGTCCACACCTCTGAGTGTTAAACATAACACTGTTGAGTGTTAAATTAACACTTTTGATAGTGTTATATGTTTAAAAGTAACCTAGTCAGTTTTGAAGATTAACAAAGACTAACACTGAGCAGTGCTGATTTTCTAACACTGGAAAATAACTCAAAATGTTAGAAATATTCCAGTGTTAGAAAATCAGCACTGCTCAGTGTTAGTCTTTGTTAATCTTCAAAACTGACTAGGTTACTTTTAAACATATAACACTATCAAAAGTGTTAATTTAACACTCAACAGTGTTATGTTTAACACTCAGAGGTGTGGACCCACATAGACACTCTCTAGTGTTAATTTAACACTGGAGATTTTGCTGTGTATTACCCATTACCTGCTCCTACATAATGTTTGTGTCAAAGTAAATCTGTCATCTTTATCTGATTTTTACTGCACTACAAATTTCCTGTAGGACATTTAAAAAGAACAAAAGAAAACTACATGAATATATACATTACAATTACAATACTGTAAAGTAAACAGAGTGAGCTGCCGTGGTGGAGCTTTGTGAATGCATGTCTCCTAAAATCAAACATCACCGTTAATGTCTTGGACAGGGGGACACATTTCTGCACCTACATTTTCTAAATGTAATGGTGCCTGCCTTCAGTCAGCTTGATAGATTTATTTATTTTGCTTTACTGCACATACTGTGTGTACAATAGCACCCACATCTCAGAGGAATGACTCACGTGGGTCCTCTAGGGAAATATGTGCAACCCGCACTGTCAGAAAGCTGGGAAACACTCATACTGTAAGTTAAGATTTTAGGCATAGAACATAGGAGACATATCAAATGTGAGCAACATGTCCTAAAGTTGGGAAAGGCAGCAAAGTAAGTGGTGCTAACAAGAAACAGCTGGAGGAAAATTTTGCAACTGGTTAGTTTAATGCCCACAGTTCAGTAACATGATTGAGTATGAAAAGAGCATCTTAGGGAGACGGAGGTGCACCAATCTGCAAAAAATGGACACTCAGTCCTCTGGCCTAAACAAGAGAGACACCATCTAGCTTGCCATCTGTGTTTACATTTGACAGGAGATTTTATGAAAACCCCAACGGTACTCACTGGGTGACGGAGGTTGTGGTGAAGCCGCAGAATCCAACTTCTTTGCAGGTTCATCTGATTCTGGTGATAACTTGGATTCCTTGTCACCAGGAGATGGAGGATTCTTCCGTGTTGGAAGCCGGAGGCTCCTTCTAAACTTCCCCATCATGCCCACATTTATGCCACCATCAGTCGACGTCTTCTCATCGCTCTTGATGGATCCGTTGCTCTTGGTGGACACCGTGTCATTGCTGGGGTTCTCAGTGGACTTGTCCATCATTTGTGACATGTTATTCCATTATCTACCCAAGTGTGAAAATGTAATAAATATTCAAGTAAAGTAGTGAAGCATTTCTATTTTGTTACTTCTTATCTGGATTTTAATGATAGTTATAGTAATTTGTGAGAAAGTGCCTCAATGAACAAAATCTTACATAATAAAACCTGTATAAGTGCTGTATAAAGAACCAGTTTATTGACTAAGCAATTCATTGTGGCTTTCACCAGGATCATCATAAAACTATATTAGAGGTAACATTTTATATCAGATAGATTGAGGTAGAAAAACAGAGAGCAACACGTTGTTTGTAATTTGGGACCATTTAATCTCATCTCTCAGGTCCTGGACTTTCAAATACTTTTTATCTGCTGTTGATCGTTTTTAGCCTCGCAAAACTTCAATTTGTCCAGATTACTAAATATTTCAAGGACATGCTGCACACCGTGCTGAGATAAGAAATTAGATGTCGCTGAACACAAATGTGTGTGTGTCTGTGTGTGTGTGGAGAGAGAGACAGCAGAGTGATTTCTCTCGCAGTTTTATTTTCAAGATTGATATTCAGTCCGTGTATGCAAACCGTACCTAGTTACAGTAAAGAGAAAAAGATGTACTTACCTCCGGTTTCGCACAGGTGATAGAACTTCCACAGTTTCTTCCCGCTTCACCTGCTTTCGATTAGTTCAGGTTTGGCAAGGTCAGAGGGTGTGACAGAGCGCGCACGCGGGGCGGGGTAGGAGGGCATTTATAATGGGCAACGTCCCTTTTTTTATGAAAGCGATACGTCACTAACCGTTTAAAGAGCAGGCGCACAAACGAGGGGCAAAAGCAAGCGTGTCACGTTCACAGAAACGGGACATCCAGTCTGAGCTGTGAGTCAGAGCACCTTACAGGCGTGTTTTGGTCAAATGTATACTTTACAGGTGAGACAATGAAGTCGCAGCATTATGTCTGCTGCATAACCTTTGACAGTGTTGCAGCGGGTACTGAAGAAAGAAATACAACAATAGGTGTCAAAAATGATAAAATCTCTCGAAACCAGTGTGTTGTACTTCTGAGACTTTTTTTTTCCTTCGCTGTTGTTTTTTAGAGGTCTAAAGAAGGGAAACTGTGCAATATATCACAACAGGAGAAATTAGAGAAAATACCTGTAACCTCTCACGCTGATATAGATGCGGATAATTGTGCTCAAGTAATGAAATCAAATGCAACGTGATCACAGTCCACTAGAGGGCAATGTGGGTGCTATATTTGTTTCGGGGAAAAAACTGTTGATTGAGTCTTGTGTCTACATTTTTATGGTATATGAAAAATGGAGCAAAACTTAATTTTTAAGAAAGTGTTGTTTACAGAACTGAGAAAAATCTCATGAATATCTTTTTGAGTATTATTTACAACATGGTTTCTATGTTTGGCAGGTAAATGAACACAAGTTGCATTAAAACCAAATCCAACGTGACATTAGGACATTTATGTCCACTAGAGGGTGGTCCACTGGTGTGTGCTGTAGTTATGCATGCAGGGGTTTAGTCTTTGTCCATACCTTTTTGAAAAAAAAGTAGAATTGGGTTTTTAAATAAGATGATAGAAATATGTGAGATTTGTTTCCAAGTGTTGTTTTTATGCGCATCATCATCATAATAATAATAATAATGATGATGATGATGATACTACACATAAGATTATACATTTATCTGAAAAATGAATTGACTTTGATGGTTATCTGTCTGGTTACCTTTACAAAATAACACACATGAGCAGATTAACATAATATATATGTTTGATGTGAAATATGTCACGTTTCTGTGTCTGATGTCAAACACAACAAATATGACAGGACAAAGGATAATATTTTAAAGAGTGTACTTTATTACTTCACTGTAAACACGATATTTCCATTTATTATTTATTCTTGTATAAATACAAAAATAAAGACTTATTCTATACTAACTTGCATAAACCAAGAAACAAACATAAATTATTGCAGAAATTCTGACTTTTTTCAGTGGTTGTGTACATTTTTTAAAAGCAGTACCTTATATTATAGTATAGTATTATTTACAACACTGAGAAAAACTAATAGATAATATCAAAATGAAAACTTCGCTATAAGGTTACATGTGAAACAATGTTCCAGTGCATCAGAGTATTATTTATCCATGTTGTTACAAGACGTCGGTTCTATTATTTCAGCAGTATCTAATACAGTAATAGAAGACTAGGAAACACTTCCAGCAGAGTTATTATTATCCAGGGTCATCAATGCTGTTTAGGTGTAAAGCCTGTGTGTCTGAGTCCACCATGACATAAAACTCTCATCTTGTGTCTTGTAAATACACAGAGTTTACAACAAGGTGCAAACATGAGGTTACACTGAAGAACAAGAAGGTCAGATTAGACTTTGCCAGAAAACATCTAACAGACATACAGTTCTCGAAAAATTATATTTCAAAAGATGAAACCAAGATTAACTTGTATCAGAACCATGGGAAGAGAAAATCAGGAGGAGAGAGCATGTGACCGATTTCACGACCACATTATCTGTGAAACATGGGGAGACAATGGGCCTCATTTACTAATATTTGCCTGGAAATATTTTTACCCTGTGCAGAAATCAAACGCAAAATCCCATTTGTGAAACGTGCATGCCAGCCTATTTTATTGTCACCACGGTGCATATGTTAGTAAATCAGAAGCATCCGGAACAAACATGCACATTTCCTCGTCCCCATTTCTCTGTGTACAAAACTATGTTTACGTCCAAGTGAAGCAGAGCACGTGGTGACGATGTTTTAAGAGAGAAGCCTGCACCTCTAAGACAAGAAATAAGGAGAAAGTTTAACTGTACAAAATGGAATAACAAATAACACATAAGTGATGATCTTTCAAAAATGATAAATAAGTAAATAAAAAGCAACACTTAGGCTGATTATCATTTCCCCTGAGACACAACAAAAAGTCTGAAAACTGGCTGCCAGTGTAACCCGACCACTGGTGTTGATTTAGATGTGACTGCTGATAGTAGCAGCAGGGGGGATTCGGAGGTGTACATGGATACATATTCAGCCAAATGCTGCAAAACTGACAGACTTTTTGATGTGATGTGAATACATTTCTCAAGTGTGTTATCATGTTTCATTATCATCTGTCACTGTCCTGTCCTCTAGCTTTTGTTTCCTGTGACCCTCATGTTTAATATAGATTTAGTATAGGGTCTCTGCTTCTGTTTCCTCTGTTCCCAGGTCTGTCTCGTTTCCATGTCTTAGTGTGTAGTCTGGATCATTGTGAACTGTCTCATGTTTTCTGTTTTACTTTGGCGAGTCTTGTGTCCTGTTTTCAGTGTTTTGCTTTCACGTTCTGTGAATATTTAGTGTGTTAACCTCTTTTCCTCGTCTGCATATCATCCCCTGTTCATCTTTTCCTCCATTCCTCTACCTGTGTTGCCAGTTTTCAGGTTTCCTCATTCTTTGTTTCAGGTTTCATGTTAGCTTCTCCCAGTGTAGGTTTTGTTAGTACCCCTCGCTAGTGACTGTTCCCCTCACTAGTTGCTTTTCAAGTGCTAATAAAGGCTCGTCTTCAATTTAAACATTCTCCTGCATCTATTTTGTCTGCGTTTGGGTCCACATCTCTTGTCTCCACACGATTTGCCTCACAAATCGTGACATCGTCTGTTAGAGACAAATCTAACATATTAAAAGATACAGAGTCATTTAAATTCTAAAGTACTGTAGCATCATGCAAAGGGCACATTTCACAATACAACACAAAATGCAAAAATGGAGAGAGGAAAGACTCTCTCCTGCAATCTGGTCACATGTGGTCACACACAGTGTGATGTTTGTTATTGTACCTGTAACATTAGAATCAGGCTTGCCCATGGCAGCCACTTTGTACATCCTTACTGACAGACTGAAAGCACTGGAATTCAACTCATCTTATCCACTGCATGATGTAATACATGTTGGAAATGAAGGGCTCATCATTACAACATTGGAGAAAAACCTCCGGGTTTCACCACCAGTATAGCTTTCTTTTAGTGTGTCCAGCACAGTGGATGTGATGGTATTCATGTCGGCTTGGGAGAGGTTTGTTTTGAGTTTGAGCAGAGCCGAAACATGTTCTTCACTGTTGGTGACAGAAAGAAGAAAAGGTTATTAAAAAAAAGAAAAAAGATGTGACCTAATGATTATGTTTATATGCTGTTTATCATTACAAAACTAGAGACTCTGAAGTAAGACTATCAGTGGAAGTACATCAAATAATAAGTCTGAGCACTTTGTCAGTTCACTGGTGTGTTGACTTGCTTACTGTTTATGAAAATGTATGAATTCCATGAGATGCAAGCAAATAACTGTTGTTTTCTGCCAAGCTTAGTTTATATGATTATATATGCACCATGAATGATATTAACAAGGATTGATGATTGATAAATGATATTAACAATGTGAATAAGAAAAATGTCAATACAAAGGTTACAAGTTTAATTCATTTCTTTAAACTTGTAGTCCAAGACTGCAGGTCTCAAATCAAACAGCTGATTTCCTGATCTGCATTATTGAACCTGTTATGTCTTTTTCAGTTTTCTGCCCCTGACACACATCCTTCCTCCAAACACTAACAGCTGTCAGTAACGCGTCACCACACCAATTTAAAGTACTGAAAAAGTGGAGGTGGAAAATGTGTCCATTTCCAATTCAGTTCAATTACATTTTATTTATACAGCACCAAATCACAACAACAAGGCTCTATGCTGTTGTAATTAAACATTTCTGTTTTAAATACATGGTAGGTGAAACTACTATTGGTGACACTGATATGTGCCTAAATTTACAGGAATCTCCCAGTTTACACAATCACAGTCAGCTGATGCAGACACGCACAAACAAAACTTGATTCTAACAGAGAACATAGCGTTTATTATGGCTGAACGAGCAGTACAAAAATAAAAGTGTAAAAACTATTTGAAGCTAAACAAAAGCCTAAATTGGATAAAACTAGAAAGAAAACATAAAATATCCTAAACGTGAAAAAAAAAACCTTAAATGTGACAACTTGGTACGAATACATGAAAACATGAAACCCTGGAAACCTGGCATGGCATGACATGGCCAGATCACAGACGATTGGATGAGGAATGAATGAAAACACACAGATTAATGCACACAGGTGGTGATCAGGGGAAGTGCAAACACTTGGGAAACAGCTGATTAGAATGAACATAATGACACCACAGGGGAAGTAAAACTAAACACAATGAACATGGGACACCAGACCTCTACAAAATAAAACAGGAAACATAACGCAGACGTGGCACACGCTTGACAACATGAAACACGCAGACATGAAAACACATGACAGACTAAGACACGTGGACTCAACGTGAAGAACTGATGAGAAACACTATAAATACACACATAGGAAAAAACTGGAGATGAGGCAGCCATAACCAAGCACAGAACATGATGGCTGCAGAAAAACACATGACGGATGGAAAGGGTCATGAGGGAAAACATGTAAACAAGAGGAGAAGACGGGAGACAAAGACATTACTGAAACACATGATGGGCACGGGAGACATAAACACAAGAAGCGAAGACACAAGGGGAATCTAACAGAAAATAAACTAGAACTGGGCAACCTAGGCAACCTAAAATAGATGAGCTAAAGATAACTACATGAACTTAAACATAAACCATAAACATCAAAATATATTAAAATTCAAAACGCTGGATCGTGACATACACTAGTTTTACCAAATAACTCCCCATAAAATCACACACTTCTGTGGTGCTGATACTTTCAGACACACAGTCAGTCTTTATATGAGTGCTATCAAGAGAAGTGATTATGTCCCCTGAATCCCTTTCTCCTTTTCCTTTAAGGTTAGAAATAAGACAAGAACGAGACAGTTTGGTTTCTGGTGCCACATTTGGAAGAAATCTCTCCTTTCACTCTAATTAACAGCATTATTGACTTCATCTACACACAGCTGCTGCTGCTTCTCTCAGGCCTGCATGTTTTATTTAGCTTTCCGTTTCTCATATTAGTTTCCATGAATGTTGCTCATCCTGCTGATAAGAAACATCTGAAACCAATTAAGATGTTTGGCTCAGTCAGCTTCCTGTTTTCCCTCAGCTCTCTCTGAAAAGTACGATTGTTTATCCTGACCTAATGTCTCACAAACCTCTTATCATGATATAGTTCTGTCCTTATTGTTTATGTTACAGTTGATGCAACAGGCCCAAAAAAGGAGAGCACATTATGTTTTGCGTGAGTTATACTCTGTATGTTTTTGTATTAAAGTAAATAATGTTTGAGTCAATTCAAAAGTTACCTGAGGTCGGGATAAGCAGATCCCAGTGAAACGATTTGCATCTGTATGGCAGGAATATCTTGGAGTCTTAGCACTTCTGCGATGTTGGTCAGGATTTCCTTTAACCAGTCTTGTTCGGATCCCTGTGAAGACAAATCAGTGACGTCAGTTTAGTCTGCAAGTTTCCCAAAACTCTAATGTGTGTAAGATATTAATTTCTGAGTTACACATTTTTATATTTATACATTTATCTTCCCAAGATTTATAAATGTATCTTTTTTTGACAGGGGTTTATATGCAGAAAGTGGAGTGAAGTGGGGGTGGGGGTGGGGGGGGATCAGAATAATAAATAAGGACAGCACATTGTTGAACATTGTTTCTGCAGTCTAAAGTGATTACCAGAATTTTATAGAAATCATGCCTTTGACTCATAATGTGACTTACATATAGACCATTTGGTCCATCACTTTCTATAGGTCACACTTTTGTTCCTAAGGAATGAGTCCATTGGTTTTCCATTGAGTTTATTATGTCCAGCCTTGGAGGGTCACATTTTAGCCAACTCCTCTGAACAGCCTTTTCAATTCTACAAATCTTTTTAATCAAATTATTTTTAATCAAAACTTCTAAACCAAATAAATGTGAAATTGAGCCGATTCTTATTCTTATTTTTTCCACAGCTCAGCAGAAATCTGATCACTTTCGGGTTTTATTCATGTCTCAGCTAAAGTGTGCAGTGAAGGTGAGTCTCACCATTCTGGCAAACAGCTCGTGGAGTTTCTCTGCATTTTCTCTCACAATCTTGTAAGCCTTCTGCTGCTTTTTGGTGTTCTTTAATTTGACTTTTCCTTTCAGGAGCCTTCGGACATATTCCACTGTCACTTCCTGCTGAAGCTGACCAATCAGCTCCTGAATTTAGCCCAAGTATATAAGTAATCAGAGCACATCATAATCCTTTTACTAAAAAGTTGACAATGAAGGCAATAATGGCCATTATAATTATAATCCATTATAAAGTTTCCTCCTTTTACCTGGTAAGAGGACTGACTCGAACCCTGAAGTTCCTGAAGCTCGTCTTCAGTGCTGTTCAGCAGCTTCTCAAACGTGTTCTTCTTCAGCCAGTCACTGGTTCCCAGTTTCTGGTAGTGTGGCTGTGTGAGGAACAAATAACACAGTTTTTTAAACCTTTGATTAAGACATGTTAGGATTTAATCCTGAGGATTATTGAAATCTGCAGTTGTAAAGAACTTACTTTGAGGATCTTGTGCACAGGGGTTAATAAATAAGTGTGGGCAGACTGTTTCATCTCAGTCAGGACCTGCAAACAGTTTTCCCGCACATCCTCTGGGAACAGATTGTGCTCCACAAGGAAGTCCCTTTAGACAGACCACACAGGACACATTAGCTCACAGTGAAGTATTCGCCTGTTATGATGAAGATAAAATCTGAATTTCCATCTAACTGGATCAGAAACAAACCTGAACTGTTCGACACAGCTGAGGTTTGCCTTTATGAAAGCTTTGCTGTGTGGCTTGTTTTGCTTAATGACGTCTTCATGAAAAGTTTGATACCTGCAGAAGATTAAGAACAGTTTTCAGTTTTATTGCCTTGATAATAACAAAAATAAAACTGAAATGTATTTTCAAATGACAATATTTAAAAGACAGCCTTGTGAAGCCTTGCTACCTCTGCATGAAGTCAGTCAGGTTGGATGTTATTTCCTGGGCCTTGTGCGGGTCTCTTACAGTTATATGTGCTGATGTCACGATGCCGTTGATCAACTGAAGACAAATGTATTGACAAATCAGTTTCAAGCTCCCAAAGCATAATTTTCTGATCCAGTTAAGCACCAGGAACCAAACCCATTGCTTTACAATGTTAGTGACAAACCCAAGTGATTAAACTACAGAACCATGGGAGGGTTTGAAACTGTGACCCTGATCTGACAGTAAATGAGTTTCTATAATTGACCCAAACAAAAATGACGGTCCTTTGTTTGTTTGTTAATCTTTTTCTTAAAGTTTCTCAAAGTCTTTTTCAGTTTGGTTAATATGTGCATCAGGCTGAAAATATTTGTCGGCACTTCTTTGGAAAGTTCTAAAGTGGATAACAGAGTAAATGTCAGTCTGCACATTTTGTTCTCCTATGATCAAAACAATGTTTCAATATTTCACATTTTTTTATTGCACAGTTCTGACATAGCAATGTTTTCAAAGCTTCTCATCATGGTCAACAATTAGAAGTCAACCAATCCAAGACCAGAGATGGATAGTAACGCGTTACAAGTAACGTGTTACTGTAATCTGATTACTTTTTTCAAGTAACAAGTAAAGTAAGGGTTTACTATTGCAAAAAAGGTAATTTGATTACTGTTACTTTCCCATAAGCACGCTGCGTTACTGCGTTACTAAAACCATGATTTTTTTGCGAGAGTGTCTCATGACAATGATGTAAGCGAGTGCGCCGTTCGTGGCAACAGCTGCGTGCAGATCAACAATGGATAATATAAGGAGGGTGGGAGAGAGTATGACCGTGCAGCGTTTAAAGCGTGGAAGTACCGACCTTACTTTGAGTTTGATTCCGTAAAAAGTGACAAAAACATTAGCGTCCGCTGTTCACTGCGTGGGAAGAAAACTTCTTTTTACAGCGAAACAAACCCCTAAACGTACGAGCAAGCACCGACAGTACGCTGCCACGGGAACTCCCAAATCCTTCCACTGACCGCTACGACACACCTGCACCAGAGCAAACCTCCACCTGCCCCACTCCTGCTATACAGGTGAAAATAGAGCAACAGGACCGCTGAGTCTTTGATTTTTTTTTATTTTCTGCTGTGTTTTATGTGCATTTATTTGAAAGACTGAGTGTAAACACAAAAACCTATTTTATCTTATGTGCAGGAATGTGCAGAAAATAGGTTTAAATGTTAAACAAATTTCTTCCAGTCAGAGAATGTTGCATATAATTTAATGTTTGCTTGATGCATAAAGTTAAAAGATTAAAACTAATAAAACAAGTTTCAAAAGGACACTTTTCCATTTGATTACATTTTATATGATGGATTATGCAGAAAAAATAGAATTGGGCTGAAAGATCTATTGCTTTCTCACCTATTCAGGTTGTAAATCTTTTTTTTTTTAAAGTAACTAAGTAACTGATTACTTTTGAAAACACGTAATCAGTAAAGTAACGGGATTACTTTTTTTGGGAAGTAATTACTAATTAGTTACTGATTACTTTTTTCAAGTAACTTGACCAACACTGTCCAAGACTCACTGTAAGGACCCTTAAAGCAGGCCAACACAAGTGACGCCTTTCACTTTATGTTAATACATTTTTATAAAAGCATCAATTTCAGCCTTTTTAATAACAAGTTTATGCAGCAACTGTACCTGGATGACATCATAGGCCACAGGACTGACGTAGCAACCATCATCTCTTGTCGGCTCCTTTCCTTGATCCCACTCTTTCTTTGCTTCATCCAATACTCGGCCAATATAAATCATCAGGTCCTTCTAAACACACAACAACACACAGCTGCCACTTTTAAACCGCTTTCATGTGTAAAAATTTAATTACTGACAGTAATAATTACATCTAGAGATGGCACGATACCACTTTTTTATGTCCGATGTCATAAATTTGGATCTCTGCAGATACTGATATGAATCTGATAAAGTGTATTTTATCATTGATAAAACTGTCTTTTTAATATCGTATACGTTCATACTCAAGTTTTACAAAGCAAAACACTAAAGCTATTCTATTATACTTGTATGCAAAAAATACACTGCACCCCAAATATTTCACAGTTCAGCAATACTGATCTTTTTATTTAAACTTTTAGCAGAACTTTAAATCTAAGTATTTAAATTAATATTCAAAAAGTAATTTAAAATGTAATTTTATGCACATTTCAAAATCTCTTTGGTTCTGAAATAAAAGAAGTGCAATATCAGCACAAAATAATGTTTATATTCAACAAACTAAAAAAAAAACAGGTTGTATAATGGACCCTTTTATGCTTAAAGCTGAACATAAATAGACATCCAGAGTGGAAAGCAGTGCAAACAGATGCGAACACGGCTTCATCACACACATCTTTTATCAGGATGGATGTCAGTGTAAGCTGTTTGTGTCACATTTAACCTGAGACTGAATTTTGTGTAATTTCTATACAAAACTTAAAACACATATGAAAAAAAGTGTTTTCTTAATTTTTTTTTGAACCACGAAACTGTTTCGCTTGCAACACTGCTGTTTGATGAAATGCTGGTTTGGAAGCACATAGTGAGGCTCCCGATGCTCCAAATGTTTTCAGTGTGAAGTAACTCCAGACCACTGACAGGTCTCGCACATAACTTCCGTTCTAACCAGTGACGCATACTGCTCCAACGTGCTAAAGTACTAAGCTGGGTTACGCCATGTCCCAAGTTTTGTGAGGTGCTTTTGTGATAGTTAATAGATCGGATTACACTTTTTATTTCTCAATATCCGATCCAGTAATTTAGGTCAGGATCGGACTGATACTGATACTGTATATTGGATCGGTCCATCCCTAATTACATCTACAATATTATGTATAAAAAAAATATCCGTCAAAACCAGCAACTCTTTGATGCTGCATTTACACATCTCACTTTAAGCCCTGCAATGACCATACTGATTAACTGGATACACGCCTCAGATACACTGTGTTACCTGTTGTTTGCTGAGGTACTGCTCCTCCAGAGGTTTCAGTAACTCGTCAGGAAGCAGCTTTCCCAGCGCTTCAGTATTGATATTACTGGCCAGCTCAGGTTTTTCAAGGATTCTGGTACACAGAGCAGATAACACATGAGTTTCTATAAACAACCCAAGTTGTGTTTAGTATACAAAAATGTCATTTTATTTAGCACATTAAGAAAACAAGAAATTAGCCGTTACATTTGTATTATTATTCACTATCTATCTGTAATTGTTCAGGTATTTATTCTTCAGGGATCAGTGAAGGACCTCACACTGACAGACATCCTCTTGTTTAGTCACAGAAAGATGCTGCTTCAAACAATAATTGAACTGGTGGCTTACCCTGGATAAAACTCCTTCACCCATCGCAGGAGGAAGCTGCAGTCCTTGTCATCCACAGAACCCACAATCTTTTTGAGTCTTGCGCTGAAAGTTTGATGGTACTGTCTTGCATAAAAGTTACAGATGTCCATCTCTGGTGGGTAGCAGTTCTTCACAACCTCCACCACCCACTGCAGGTCCTCCTTCAGCTGCCTGCCCATGGACTGGATCTCTGCCTCTATAGATGACTGGTTCACCTGATCACCGATGGGGCTTGATGGATTATCCATACGCCCATTTACTAATTTTTGAAGCACTTCATCATGGTGTTTCTTCCACTCGCTGGGCCTCCAGGCTGGTGGAGTTTGAGGATTTTGTCTCCACAGCTGGTCCTGCTCTTCCTCAAGGTTGATGGCTTTCACCGCAGATGCCAAAGCAGACACCTCTTCCTCAGTGCTGAGAGAAAGACTCTGCTGTAGAATCTGCCATACATGCTGTTCAAGGGCTTTATGGTCTGCAGCAAGCTTTTCTACCGCTTCCTTGTTAGCCTCAGCCTCAGCTGTCTCCCAAAACAGATGTTTCTCCCTGTCTATCAGTTGCTGAGTGGCCTCACAAAAGGCTTGCCTTTCAAGGTATTCCTCAAACGTAGGTTTCACTGGTGGACAATAACAAAGACAAATCTTTGAATTTCTTTTAGATTACCAGTACTATTTTATAAATGAATCACCCAGGCTCTCTGGGGTTCTCTTGGTATTTAACACTAAACATCTAAATAAATCTTCCTAAACAGTGAAATGAATGCTGCACATGTACTATATACACATAATTAAATATCATGAAAATAATTGTAATTAAACTTATGCCATGGATATTAACATGGGATTCAACAAATAAAAAAATATTTGTACTTCCCACCTTCCATTGAGGAGCGCCTATCCTCGTGTCCTTTCCGTCTAAAAGAAAACTCTCTCTTAACAGTATTATTGGGATCTGAAAGAAAAAAGCACACAGTTTAATGAAGTTTGAATAACAGACTGCAGACATGATTTCAATGTTTTGTTTTTTCCCACGTTCCACATACAAGCATCAACAGTGCTTTCTGTTGTAAACTCAATGCAAAAAAATTGTTGTTATTTTTTTGCCCATTATTGTCATGTGTAGCTGTGGCAGGCATGAAGGAGGTGGACCCAAGTGCAGAACTCAAACATGAAGGATGAACTAAAAGTTAATATTTTGTTGTTCCACAATTGTACTGTGGAAATTTGGACCTCTGACTTTTATAACTATTTGAATACATGTCCAATGTTCCCGAATACATTTCTTTTTTTTTTTTAGAAAAGTTTCTCTTGAAATTTATTGCTCAACATTTAAAATCTTGCTAAACAGTGAAATGAATGCTGCACATGTACTATATGCACATAATTAAAAATAATAAAAATAATTATAATGAAACTTTTGTCAAGTATATTAAAATGAGGTTCAGCAAATAAAAAATATTTGTACTTCCCACCTTTTTCCTCGATCGAGGGGGGTTTATCCTCGTCCTTTTTCCATCTAAAGTAAAAAGATTCTCTCACTCTCTTAACAGTATTATCAAAAGTGGACGTAGTGGGATCTGAAACAGAAAAGCACACAGTTTATTGTAGTTTCAATAACAGACTGCAGGCATCATTTCTGTTTTTGATGGTGTCCAAAGTGTCACACATAATTGAATACAAGCATTTAATAATATGGCCAATTTCACATGTGCTTTTATTGTAAAGAAACCATTTTTCCTGTGTCAGTGCTGTTACAGTCCCGGGTGTTACCCTGTGTTTTGTGTTTAATTTCTATTTCTTGATTATTGGTTATTCATGGTTTTGTTCTCTTGATGTTATTTGTTGTTCTGGCTTCTAGTTTAAGTCAGTGCCTGCCACACAGCACATCATGACAACTGAATTGCTACTGTGACTGAATATTTATATTTATTTACTCTATAGAGGACATGGTTAAGATATCAATTACATCCTGGAAATATTCTATAACTGCAAAAATTTGCCATTTTGCATACTTTAAATATGCTCTTAACGCCTGGATTATTGCCCAGGTTAAAAAATGTTATTTGACGGCATCAGATCAGGATTCAGGAAACAGACACGAGCAGATACTTCAGAATTCATATGAATCAGCATATGTCCTCATCTGCACCTCTCATATGAGAAGACTCAAGCACCCAAGCCTCAGTCCTTGGACCAGTTTTCTTTAGGCCATCTAACTAATTGTTTTAATGGACTTTCTTACCACTGCTATGTAGATTACACAGTTTTACTTTTATGTCAAGCCCAACAACCTTAACAGCCTTTCCTGCCGCAGTGACAGCTTCTCTGCCATTACTAATTGGATGCAGTCAAATTTACTTCATCTCAATTGCAGTAAAACTGAGGTTCTAGTACTTGGCCCAGGCAGTTTCTGTAAGGAGATGAGTCAGTACATCGGCCCCTTCACTAATGACTTCTAAAACTAAAAACCTTGCTATAATTTTTGACCAACACCTGAATTTTGAAACTCATATCTCAAAGCTCACCCAAACTTGGTTCCTTCACCTCAATATATTGCAAAATTCTGTTACTAACACAACGACAGGGCGTTATACAGCAAAGCTTCTGAAACCTGATCCCTGCAGCCGACCTTTCCGCCCCGTTTAAGAGGATCTTGTAACTCTGACTTTAAAACCAAATATAATTGTGCTTTTGAGGTTGTTGCGCCCAAACTGTAGAATAATCTTCTTCACTCAATCAGGTCTGCTGACTGTATTTGTTTTTTTAATGACTCCTGAAAACTCAATTTTATAGATTAGGGTTACCTTAATCTTTTTCCTTTTAAATCCGGCCATAGTATATGGCCAAACATAATCAATGATCCTACAAACTGGCAATGTAGCGATTGCACTACATCTTCACTGTCCACTTGTCTAAGCAAGGGCTCCCTGGAGCATTTGCAGACTGTCCAAAATGCTGCAGCAAGGCTTCTGACCAAAACATCTAAATACTCTCATGTGACACCGTTGCTAATGCAGCTCAATTGGCTCCCTGTTGAATTCAGAGTCCATTTTAAATTTCTGGTCCTGCCCTTTAAAGTTCTTCATCGGCAAGCACCAGCCTACATCACTGAACTTTTACAGCCCTATGCCCTTAGGAGGTCCCTGAGATCATATGATCAGGGCCTACTTGTTATTCAGCATACAAGGCTGAAAACCAAGGGAGACAGAGTTTTTGCGACATTTTTGAGTTTAAGATCTGTGGACTCAGTGGTCTCTTTTAAAAAACAACTAAAAACACATCTTTTTAGAACTGCATTTTGTTAACTTTTGTCTTTTTCTGTTTTATACTTTGTCATCTCTTTGTGAAGCACTTTGTGATCTTTTTATCTAGAAAGGTGCTATATAAATAAAAATGTATTTATTTATTATTAATAGTGCAGCACACAATGACAAAACGACGTGGCTAGCATGCATACAGTCCTAAACTCACCATCTCTGGAATAAATATAAGGAATCAGGCCTTGTCACTCAACATCAGATCTGGGCCTCAGTAATGCACTTGTTCAAATGCAACAAATGCAGTTTGGAGCCAGATGCAACAATCTGATGGAAACCCTACAACATGAGGTGGAGGCTTTTCCTTTTTTTGGCAAATTAGTGCCAATGGTTTCATTTGGCACGAGAAATGATCTAGTATTAAAGTTTAGAAGTTTCACCTGTGTTTGATCGTGTCAGTGGTCTGGATTTGTGAGGAGAGACATCTGACTCATCATCCTCTTTTTCCTGGTTGCTCTTCGGAGAGGTGGATGCAGAGCCAGCATTCAGACCTGACAGAGAGGGAAGAAGAGCACATTAGTAAAACAGCTAAACTGACTCTTTAGTTTCAAAAACACATTTGTCTTTGTGGTGTCACAGCGATTCAAAACCAACTATCTGAAGTTTATTTTGGAAACAGAACAGGTTGGTGCAGCACAGCGCCAGCATCTAAAAGTGAAACTGATCGGCAGAATCTTGAAAAACAGTCTGACCTCATTTCTAATCAGATGATGATTTAGAGTCAGTCACATGACTTGTGGTAAATTACCTAATATGTACAACTGAAATGTATAACTGTATCTTTGATAGAGGCTGAAAAGCTTAGCATCGGAAATTAAACACTGGGTAAAATGTTGCTGTAGTGTGTTTATGTTCCAGTATGATTTATCTTAAATGGAGTTGTTTTGATTTGGTGCTTTTCCTGTATGACATTATCAGTCCCCCATCACTGTGGAGGAATTTTGCCCCAGTCTTCTTCACAATGATGCTCTCTACAGGTCCTGCCACAGGATTCAATTCAGGTTGACTTTATCTGGGACAATTCAAGTCATTGATTTTTGCTTTCTTTCACTATTCTGTTGTAGATTTGCTGCAGTGCATGAGTTCATTGTCCTGTTGCATAGCAGAGAGATCGTCTCACATACAGAGGAGTTTATGTGTCCTGTGGCTGGCAAACAAGCGCAAGCCCTCACCTCAAAGAACAGCAGAGGACAGACCATTAAAGTGGCTCCTTCCACCCTCTTGCACAGGCTGAAAAGTCTTATTGTAACACAAATTTTGATATGCTCTACTGCAAAAAGAATTGGACAATGTTTTATGGTTTATGCTGTGTTTTTATTCTACAGGCTACACAAAAATCAGGGAAAACCCAGAGGAAGCTTCTCTGCTTTCCTTCATTTAGCAAACAAACATAACAGACATATTCTGACAAGTTTTATAAGTCTTTTTGTGCTTTGTTTGATGTTTTTACCTCTGCTGAGGATATTATTAGGATTTTATGTGTGTCTGAAACTTTGTAGGTCTAGTGTGCATTTTTTTTTCTTACTGCCAGTGTTTGTACTGACAATATAGAGTTATACAGGTATAAAGAGCATCTTAGGGAGACAGGGGTGCACAAATCTGCAAAAACATGGAACAATTTCACTACAATGTTCCTCAATGTGAAGTTGTAAAGACTTTGAATATCTCATCATCTACACTACATCATCAAAAGCTTTAAAGAATCTGGCACCAGGCCAAAACTAATAGATCCCTGTGATTATCGGGCCATTGGGGAGCACTGCATTATAAACAGGTGTGATTCTGTCACAGTCACACTGTACGACATCAGGAACACTTCCTGAAATCACTGTTTGTGAACACAGTTCACCGTGACGTCCTGAAATGCAAGTTAAAGCTCTGTGGCACAAAGAAGAAGCCAAATGTGAACATGATCGTCATTTAAAATAAACTGGGACACGATGTAAAACTGTTGGTTGGTCAGATGAAACATGGACGCTCAGACCTCTAGACTAAACAAGAGAAAGACCATCTAGCTTGCCATCAGTGCTTATATTTCACAGCAGATTTTATGAAGACCCCAACGGTACTCACTGGGTGACGGAGGTTGTGGTGAAGCCGCAGAGTCTGAGTTCTTTGCGGGTGCATGCAATTTGAATTTCTTGCCACCAAGTGACGTATTCTTCCATGTTGCACGCCGGAAGCTTGTAAGCTTCGCAATCATGCCGTTCTTCTTGCTGGGGTTCTCAGTGGACTTGTCCATCATGTGTGACATTTTATTTCATTATCTACCCAACTGTGAGAAAGAATACAAAATAAATGTTTAAAGACAAATTATGTTAAACTTAAAGTAACCAGTCTGTTTTGAAAATGTAAGGAGGAGAACAGGAGCACAAATGTTCATGTTAAAATGTAGGCACTAAAAGTAAAAAGTAATAAATACTCAAATAAAGTAATGAAGTATTTGTATTTCATTACCTCCTATCCCTCGATTTTAATAATAATTATAGTAATTTGTGAGAAAGTGTCTTGATGAATAAAATCCTGTACATTCACACCTACTTTATCCCCAACAGCACATTTATAGCACTTTATATAGAACAAGTTTATTCACAAACCAATTCACTGTGGCTTTCATCAGGATCATCATAAAACTATATTAGAGCTAACATTTTATATAGATAGATTACAGTAGAAAAACACAGAACAATCTGTTGTTTGTAATTTGGCAGCATTTTCTCTCATCTCTTCGGTCCTTGACTTTGAAATACTGATCGTTTTCAAGGTCTGGGAAAACTTCCATTTGTCCAGATTTCTAAATATTTCAAAGACATGCTGCAAACCATGATAAAATATACCCTGTTTTCAGCTAATAGCTCTTTGGGAATTACCTTGTTGGTACAAAACTGCTAGTTTATCGGTCGTGTAGTAATACTAAATATATATATATATATTTTTTTTTAAGTCTAAATCCGTGGAAACAAACTACAAAAATAATTTAATAGCTAAAGAGTTTAATCCGTGTATAGCTAGTTAAGAGAGTAAAGAGAAAAAAAAAGGTGTGCTTACCTCCGGACACAGGTAATAGAAAATCCTGCAGTTTCTTCTCGCCTCACCTACTTTCGTTTTCTAGTTCAGGTCTGGCCAGTGGGGGGAGGGAGCGAGGGATTAATGAGCAGGCGCAAAAGACAGCCTGTCACTTTCCCATAAACGGCACGACTTCCAGCCATCCTATCGAAACTGGTATGGGAATTCGGGCTCTTTTTGGAGAACCGGATCTTTTAGCTCGACTCACTAAAAAAGAGCCGGTTCTCCGACTCCCAACCGAATCTTCAGGTTGTTTTGCTGCTTTAATTAATTTATAATATTAACAACAATATAAAATTATGCACAAACAGAATTACTAATGTAAAAAAAAAACCGTGGTTTTATTTATATATGCTTATATATACGTATTTAAGGGGGTCCCTAGAGACAAAACACATACAAACTCCAAAACACATTTCTAGCATTAACTGAACTTCCAAAACAGAGCTACCTTGATCACTTAAATTACACAATTGAAAGAAAGCATATATGTATATGTATATATGTATATATATATATATATATATATATTATATATATATATATATATATATATATATATATATACAAGTAATTTTTTTTTTTTTTAAATCTTCACTTACCTGTTACTATCACACACCAAATCCGGTCATTGGTACTTCCTGTTTAGCCACTAGGTAACAAAAGCTAAAAAAAAAAAAAAAAAAAAAAAAAAAACAACTCATTTCATTTCAACTCTTAACTATTTAAATTTTCAGCTTTTTCCTTTTAAACAAATTTAAAGTGAAACATCACAAAACACTGCAAACCAGAACACAATAAATTATAAATTAAAATATGCAAAAAAAAGGAAAAAAAGAAAGAAGAAGATGCACATTCTCTGTCATATAGGCCTGGGATGATTTTTTGGGAGTGTTTTCCTGCTTGGAATTACATACATAGGATTCCCTGCATGAATAAACTTTCTGAATCCTTTATCATCCGCAAATGAAAATAGTTGTGGGTGATTACTTTACGTTTCTAATGTGACGATGTTGTCTCTTGTTGTTGTCCCTGGCTCTCTTTCTGGCTTTTTCCCTCCAGCTCTGTTCCTGTACTACTGCCAGTGTAACTATCGCCCCTCCCCCCTCTGCTCAGTGCAAGCACAAGGCTCACGAGCGGAGTGAAGTGGAAAAAAGTGCGACAGAGAGGGTGAGAGAAAGAAAAAAACCTGCGACTCCCAACAAGGAATCGGATCGCGTCGTTCACTCCAAAGATCCATTTCGGTAGCGACCTACACATTATTGCTGGGATCGGAACCAGAGCTCCCTGCAGGCTTGTTTCGTTTTCGCCGCATCGTTTCATGGTCAAATGTATACTTTACGGCTGATGAAGCAATCTCTCATATTGTACAGACAAGGACATCAATGAAGTAGAGCCTTACAGCATTCAGAACTCTTTACCATTTATCATCAAGCACGTAGGGAAATGCGTGCCGTGTGCTGCTACCACTTTGTATACTGAGCTTTATTTACTTAGAAGACTAACATGGCGCAGCATTATTTCTGCTGCGTAACCCTTGTCAGTGTTGCAGTGGGTGCTGAAGAATGAAATACAACAATAGATGTAAAAAATAGTAGAATCTCTTGAAACCAGTGTGTTGTATTTCTGAGACTTTTTCTTCTTTGCTGTTTTCTTACAGATGTAAAGAAGGGAAAATGTGCAATATATCACAACAGGTGAAAATAGAGTAAATACCTGGTCACCGCTGATATACATGCAGATAAATGTGCTCAAGTAATAATGAAATGAAATCCAGCGTGATCTCAGGCCACTAGAGGGCAATGCGTGCTATATTTGTTTCAGGCCAAAAACTATTCATTGAGTCTTCGTGCCTACATTTTTATGGTATATGAGAATGGAGCAAAAGTTCTGTGTTGTTTGCAAAACTGAGAAAAACTCATAAATATCTTCAAATGCAAAGCACCATTATCAGATGAAATGTCACTATTTAATCAAGGATTCCATGTGAAACAATATTCTAATATTTCAGTATTATTTAACACTTGGTTTCTGTTTTTTCAGCATTATACATACATACTAATACAGTGATATTATAATAGGAAAGGCTGAGGTAGACATGTAATTATCCAGGGTCATTAATGCCCCTGTATATGTAATTATTTTCATAACACACTTTCAATCCTGTACTGGTAGTTTAAATGTTACCTTTCTTCATAGTGAGCATTACCAGTTACTTCCTTAATTTTGTTGATGGTGCTGCGCTGTTTGCAGATTTCCATGGACCTGCTTATCTCAGGAGCAGCTCTGAAACACAAAGGCTGCTATTGAGCACAGGCATCAGATTAGTGTTGCATAATAAACAGAAAGCTGTGGCGTGACGGATGTGTGTTTGCGAGTCCAGCTATCCACGAGCGTTACAGGTTAAATTCTAATGAAGAGCTCTAAAAGTCTCATCTTACACTGAGGAAATCTGATAATTTGGTCGTATTTGTTGTATCGTGGCGAACAAATGTTAAAAATTCTCTACTTTGATTACTCTAGTATCATTTCATTTAAATGTAAGCCTGACCCAGTTTGTGTTTAGTCAATTAATTTGCATGTTGTTACCACAGAAACAACTTGCAAATGATAGGTAGATGTCTCTAAATGTGGCATAAGGCTCCAAAAGTCTCCTCTAGTGCCTAAATATAGATTATAAATGTGTTATGTGCTATTATATATAGACAATGCTTATGCTCTGTTTGACTCTGTGTGAACCTGCATTTTACAATGATTTAATGAAGTAAAATAAAATAAATTACGTGTCATTATGATGTATGACGATAGTTTTGTTCAATCCAATTCAAAAAGTTTTTTTCAGTTTAGAATAACTGCATTATTCAGTAGGTCCATAATTTATTCATTCTTATTCTTTCTTGTCATTTTGCTTCTGTATTCTGTATGCCACCAGTGGATTTTAAATAAAACAATCAAGAAGCAAGGGGTTTTAGCAAAAGTATCGCATTGACTGTTAAGAATTACACCCATTTTTATACACAGTCCCCAATTTTCAGAGGCTTAAAAGTAATGGGATAGTTGCACTTCCACAGCAGGGTAAGGTCTGTTCCCAAAGTACTCCATGACAAATTAAGCAGATAAAACATTTGCTTAATTTATGAGAAACTAAACAGATTCTACTGCATGTTATGTGCATGTGGGAGCACAGATTGGGATGTTTGTTATTAGCCTAGTATTACCATTGAACATTTCGCACATATAAAAGAAAACAGGAACCCGTGTCGAATGACTTCACACTGATAATCAGGTTATCTGTCTCTGCCTAAGGTTAAGCCTGAAACTAAGAATTCATTTGCATCTGTGGACAGCAGCAAACAGCACAGTGTTTGTTTTTATTATAGAGTAAAACTGCAGGATACATGTTTAGTTGTAAATTTATTTCAGTGTCAAAAAAATAAAACAGAGGGAACAAACGCCTGAGACATTTAAGTCACTCAGAATCAAGCAGACCCTCGATTACTCATGGATGTGCAAACATTAACAGTGTCATAAATCATTCATCTCTCTGCTTTCACCAGCAGCAGTGTATGTGATGTCTGAGGTACAGAGACCTGCACCAATGCCTCGCAGCTGTTCCGACTTTAAGCACAGCAGTGCTGCTGCTGCTCAATTAGGAGCTATACATTATGTGCCGCTCAGGACACGACTACTGCAACGACTACTTTGTTGCATTAAATATTAACTCTCACAAATGTATGAATGTGGGTTTTTTTATTATTATTCTATTACAAATGAAATTGTAAATATTCAATCACAGCTTTAGTGTATTTTTTTAACAGATTCTAGGTTTGAGTAAATGATTTGTGCGAGCTGATAGCGTTTGTGTGATATTAGGTGTCTGAATGTCTATCATAGTTAAACCACATGACTCATATAACCTGTTAATGCAGTATTTCAGGATCTGAGTACTTCCTCCAAAACTGTGGCGCTAAAGAGATTATGGGAAAGCTGAGGGAGTGCTGTTACTGTGTCTTCTTTTCTGTTCTTTTCTCTCCTCCTTTGTTTTTACATTTTTAATGAGAAGAAAAGGATATTCTGCAGAATAAACAGCTGTCAAGCCTAACATCTGGTAAATTACACAATGGGTTACCCAAGATGCAGTTTAAGTGTAGACTCAGCTTTAATTCTGGGGTCAAGGAAAATAAATTGCATTGAAAAAACAAACAAAAGATCAGGTTTAATGGGCAACTCGACAAAATGCTTTTTCATTAACAGATTTGTGTGTTCTTTCATTATTCTTCCTAAATGACACAGATTAAAGGTTTGGAGTTGATTCCAAGTGTAGTATTTGCAGCTGGAAGCAGCTGAAATATACAGATTGTTATGGTGTTGTGCTCTTTTTGAGCTTCTTTGTGTTTCTTTGGACTAACCTTTTGCTTGCATCTCCTCACTGTCCTTGTCTTTTCCTACCTCTGGTTTCTCTTTGTGGTTTGTCAGTTCTAGTGACTTTCTTTTGATTGTAGTAACTGCATTTCCTTTTTCATGCTTTGCTGTTTTATTTCGTGTCATTGTCCTGCGGATTATTTCCACTTGAGTCTCATTTTATCATGGCTCAGTGATGTGATCAAAAAGTTAAAACAGGACTTGCAGAACTCTCATTAAGCAGCATTTTACTTTTGCATCTGCAGTTTGCTGGATCCCCCCCAGTGTGTCCAAACAGGGGTCCTTAAACTGGATGTGCACAGTGGCATTTTGGTGTGCACCATGAATGTTCTCCCTCAGTTGCTCCAGGAAACTACACTGGAAATATGTTGCAACACTCTGAGGGATGATCTCACTGTGCACAATGCTGTAAATATTGAAAAAAAAAAATGATGAGCATGCTACTGAGCTCACTACAACCCTGGTGCACTTCCTTCAGGAATGAAAAGTACTAATGCTTAGATGTAAATCTGTTAAAAACTGTACAGGTGTAGCTGAAAAACCAGTTCTCATCACACAAAAGTCATTTCAAAGTTTCAAAATGAGTAAATATTTACTTACTGGGCATGTTTGGAGCTGTGGTGTAATTACAGTG